CGTGTAGTACAGGACAGCACTTTCTGCCTCGCCTAAGTCCAGTATTTAGGCCAGATCAGGGCTGGAGCATGCTAAAGACCAAGGTAATCAGATCAACATTCAACTCCCCTCGCTCCTAGCTATGGGGACTCTCTTCTCCCTAATTCCTTGGAGTCCCTCAAATCAGCAACTATAGATCTCTTCCGACATTATTGACTAGTGTATTGCATTGTACATACCTCTGCCCGAGAAGCGATATTTCCAACATCTTCACAGTGTGACAGGCTATTTAATTAGATGACCAGCAAGAGTATGGCTGTGTTTGCCGTTGGAAAGCAAGAGATACCCTGGGATTCTTGAGCCGATCACATAAAGACAAAGCAGTAAATCTTCAGCGTCTACGGGTTTCCTTCGTAATTCTCCTCGCTTCGAAGATCTGAATAGCGGGATACGGGAGAGGATTGTGTGCCCAAAAAATAATTTCCAGGATCTCGAGTGATTTGGAGATAGCAAAATGGCGGTTTTCTGAATGGACATAATCCACGCAGAGTTCTTGACCCGTAAGCTGAGAGCTCCACTCCTCCCCATTTTCCTGCCAGCTAACTCCGTTTGAGTCACAGGCCGCCAATAGAAGCACTGATTATCTTTGTAAATAGAACTTATCCGCAGTTGGCTTCACCATTTAACCTTGTGACTGACCCGAGAGTGTTCATCCTTGTTCGAATATGTTGGCTGAGTCTCAACAAAGGTCGACACTAAGAGATCCTTAGTGTGAGGCTCAAAGAGCTCTCGCAATGTCGGAATGGAATACGATGAGATGGGGCAGGAGCTTGTGAATTAGCCCTGAGGATCATGATATGATTGGTCCTCAGCCTCTACAAGACCGTTGTGGCTGAACAGAACCCAGAGGAAGAGCAAGGATACTGAACGCTTCTTCCTTCGCGTTGGTGAAGCCGGAACTATTCTCTTGTTAACCAAATTTAGAAAAGAATGCTATCTTTCATTGCCATGAAATCCTGTCCAACACCAAACAAGACGAGATCAAGGTGTGGCACACAACATATATCATCACTAGATAAAAGTCATTTGACCTTGCCCCACGAGGAACATGCAAGAACATCGGCAGAGTTTTATCTACCATTATTACATAGAAGAAACTAAAAGTCTTCAACAACTGGGTGGCCGCATCTGGATATTCATGGTTGCCCTACCTACCTCCAGTTTTCGGAAATTGCGAGATGAGAGCCGACGCGTGGTAACTCATAGACACCATTCTGTTAGCTCTGCCTGGAGGGTTGCCTCTGAGAAATCAAGAGGGCCGGCCACCTTTTGAATAAATCAGGAGCAGATCCACGCTGTTATGTTCTAACAACAAGCAAGATCTTCCAATTGAAAGGGTTGACAAATACATCGTATCTTTGCCTTCGTACACAGGAAGCCAGCTTCCATTGTTGTTCGCCGCTAACACGTTCCACAAGATATTGCAAAACCAAAGCCACAGGTTGGCGAAGTTGGGAGTATTTCTTAAAAAGGAATGTATGCTTGTGCAGAGCTTTCGAGGATGTAAGAATGGGACGAGTTCATCACCAAGAGAAGCAGAGACGTAGAACCCGTGGTGGAAATGGGTAAGCGTAAAAGGGTGTGAAAGTAATTTGGAACCTTGTGGGGTTCCCGTCTTGGCATCAAACTCTAATTCAACTCTTCCATACGATACGCTGTACTCCCTACTCCCTAACTTGATTTGTCTGTTGTTTCAATATCGTTGTTAGTAACTATGTTAATCTAGCTGTCATGGAATTGCTATCAAATTTATTGTGAGTGTATGCGGGTACATAATTATACTAGTCCAAACTGAAGATGCTGGATGGGAGACATTCTCGTAATGGGCATCCACATATCTCGATATCTCTGTGCCAGGTAATTGGTTAAATTTAGTAGTCTTCAAGGTGTACTCCCGTTTGTTTTATGTTAAATATATATACTATCTATATTGAATTTAATGGGACGGATTTCAACTAGTTCCTCCAGTCTACATCTCTCTTCTGTATTGCACCGTTCTCTGTGCCGTCACAGAAATACTAGATCTGTGAACTCTTCATAATAAGTAGTAGTTGGAAACAGCTGGCAATGCAGCTATGGCGAGTCTTCCCCCACGTGCAGCATTGGCATAAGTGGACGATGCACACGGAAGGATGGGTTGGGTTCACCACATACTCACAGTACCGGTGGAATTTAATCAGAGTGATCGAGTGTGAAACATTAGAATAATTATTATATCAGAAATGCCAGTATAAGGTCAGAAAAATGATGTGATGAAGGACAGTCAGAGAATATATGCCTCTTCCCTTGCCGTCTCTAGCCCACTCTACTGGAGCCTTTCCGCAAAGAGCCGACTCTGGGCCGAGTTTTGCTCCCAATACAGTACTTTCTCTTGGAGAAGATGCCATTGCCTTCCCGCTTTCCAGATCTTGCCGCATGTTAATTCCGTTTCTGGTCAAAATAATATCACCTAGGTTGATCAATTAATATTTACTAATGACATGTAACCCAACCCACTTTAACCCGCAACTATCCCACAGCTCTATTTTATCGATCCTTGGGCTACTAAGTTGCATTGATTCAAATAAAACATCACTGCCCTACCTAGGTGTAACAGATCATGGATCCTGTGATTTTCAATGCTCTTAGCGCAAAGCCATGATGCTATAAAGGCTAGAAACGCATCGACTTGAGAATGGATATTGTCTCTACAACATTGTCCTTGTATTGATTCCGTTTGGTCTTCCCTGCAGTTCCTATGGCATTGTTCAGGCAAAAGCCGGGATGACGGGCTACTTACCCGCAATGAAGGGAATATACACGTCTGCAGTCCATTCACAAATAATGTACTTGGGCCCCGAGGAATTTTATTATACACAAGAGAGAAGGGCACGTTCTGCTGTGTTGTGTATGCGTATGAGACCCTGGGTAAGCACCCAAACTAATGGCAATTTCCGAGGCTGCTACCTACCTAAATGACACGCTAGAAAGTCAAAATTAGCCACCATGTAGCCTGATATTCTTTTGTACACCTTGAACGGCCTTGCTGTGAAAATATTCAAACTCCCAACGCCCAGCCAGATCTGTGGATGCTAGTACCTAGCGTACCGGCTGGTTCTTGGCTTGGATGTGAGGAGGGATTTGCGCACCTAGCCGCTTTGCTGGGGATGGCATACAAGTAGCCCCAGAGTAGTCGCCACTTCACAGATTGTCAGCCCAACTCCGGACAGGCGGGTGATCATAGACAGTCCTATGTTAAGGTGTGGTTAGAGATTATAGTTGTTTGAACAAACTTCGCGTAGTGAGTAAATCTCAATCAGCTTTTGGAAGATACTTTTGAAGGTTCGGGCCACACGGACCAGCCCCCGTACCCAGTTAATAATAGCAAAACGTGCCAACACCATCCAGGTGAATTGCAGGAGCGGTTGAATTCCTCCCTGTGTGCTTGGCCAATGAACGATGAGTTACCCGGCAGCTAGACGACCCCTGACGCAGGAGTAACAGTCCTTCTCCCGCGGAACCAGATTCGGAAAACTGAGCGCGAGATGAAGACAATACCCTGCTTCTTTGAAATCGGTGATAAGCAATTGTTGCAGAAGAAGTGTCCCACAAACAAAAATAGCTTTCTGTTATGGCCTTATTGGACCAGATTCTCTAGAGTTTAGCCAGGTATCGGTGAAATCGAGCCGTACATCACAATTCTCAACAAGGAGACTTTCATGTCCGCCTTTCACAGAGCCAGCTGGTCAAGTAAAACTCAAAGCCCATGTTATTTCCGGGGTAGTAGTCGTAAACTTCAGCCTTAATGCTGTACAATATGTTACCTAAGTTTGTGCCATTTGCCGCCCCGGGAATGTAGGGCTTCCCTGCAGGATGAGCCATCGCCCTTTTACCTCATACCCCTGTGATCGGATTGGAGGCTCGCTATAATAAATTTTGCTGAAACTATTTCAACATAATAACTCATCCAGCAGGCATTCCTCACCAGATTGCTGGGTATGCAAGGACTAAACATGCAGAATGCGGGGAAGATGCTTCTAACCCAAATTCATCAACTGCTGTTCATCGATCGTTAAACCATGCTCTGCTTCTCAGCACTAGCTTAGCCAGATGATTTCAGTCCAACTTATCCAAAATCGGGTGCTACTTTAGAAAGGTTCAACTGCACCTTAAGAAATATGTTGCATTAATGCCAATGCAACAAAAGCTGGTAGGCTATTAGGTTGAAGCCGAACCTATATCCCTTGGATAAGAAATGATAGGTAAACCAGTTTCCTTTGTCGGTGCCACTGACCGACAAGTCTGTGTTTCAACAGCTCCTGAACAGGGCTCGTGCGGGGCATCGAGGCTTCAGCGACGGTGTCTCCACTGCTCATTCGGCCCATGAATTCTCATAGATGAGGATAGTAAACCTGTCAGGCGTGAAGTGGCCAGCTTTGCTGTACGTGCTAACAAGGGTAAACCATTTTAATGGTCTGACAAGACCCTTGGTGATGATACACCCCGTCAATGCAAATAAGCAGAATCCTGGTCCAATTGGGCAAATACAAGCTGACGGCAGCAAGGCAGTAAAGTAGAGCGCGAAAGACATGGAACAAGAATTAACTCATTATGCCCAAGTGACTTTTGGGGTCAGTTTACTAAGAGAGAAAACAAATGGCTGAGGTTCCCTGTCAAGATAAATTAATGAGACAACAACCCCAGTTGGTTAATATGCAGCGACTAGGGAAGAGGGGGAAGAGCTGAATATCATCATCCAGATAATAAGTAGTGCATGCTATCAATGGCTAGAGGAGCTCTTGAAGTGTAAATGAATTACGATCGCCGCAAGGCGGTGATTACATGCTTCCAGTTAATGAAGAAGGGAGGTGTAAGGCTGGGAAAGCTTGATCAGTGACGGATCGGAATAAATATTTACCGGAAGCCCTAATGATCGAACATTGCTTAAGTCAACCATCAGGCAAGAGCCTCACAGTTCTTCCCGAGCATCTTCAAACATAGGAGCCACTTTTGCCCACTACAACAACCATTACCATGTTAACGCCTCTCAAGTTCCTATACTATAGGAATGGCAACGTATCATCGAGATACCCCTTGGACAGCTCTAGTGGTTGCTCTGGGGGTTTGAAGCTGCTCATCCTCGGTCAACCCCTCCCCGTGTGAAGCCGCTCGCATGGGGGGGCCTTAAAAGGCAGGGAGACTCCGGGATTCTGCAATTGACATCAACACTCATAACCTAAGCCCTAGCTGGCTAGATAGGCTTCCTTGCAAGAGCATGTGACAATAAATGCTCTCCCGTTTTCCGACTTTATTCACCGGAGTGCGCAGAGTCTCCCATGTTGGGAACGCGAACTAGAATATTTTGACAGTATGCGCATCGCGCGGCTCAGAAATGTGATAATTCAACGTTGACAGAACCAACTTGGCTGTGGGTTGGTGCTACCTGTTTAATATTTCTCTACATCTCCCACTATAGGCCCCTCATATACCTGTTTTAACGAAGAAAAACGCTGCCTGGAAAAAAAATACTCCCCTCGAGTCCTTAGACATCCCTGTCCTCTATGGATGTCTCCTTCATTGGCACGGGGATGCTCCTTGGTTAAGGATAGTTTGACTTGGTCTACATATGTGGCTTGAGTCGAGGAAAACTTTATATTTTTGTCTGTATTGCTGACGCCCGTATCTTGCATTCCACACTTGTTACTTGCGTTTCCAGTTCATCATATAAAGACGCATGTTTCCTCTCTTCATCCGACTCGTCTGGCTCTTGAAACTAAGACCAAATCCTCCGAAAATTGCAAAATAACTCTGGATCCCGATTTTCACATTCTCTCCCCACTTATACTCTGGCAATATGATGAAAGCTATCATCATTCTTAGCTTTGTAGCGCAGGTTTTCACTGCGGCTGTTAGCCGCGAGCCCGACTCCGGTGACGATACCAGCACCCGGCCCTTCCCCCTCCCCCCTCTCTCCCCTATCCAGGCGGAAGGTCCGGATCCAGACAAAGTATACATCGTTGGCCTTACGCATGGCGGAACGGGATGCCCCTCAAATTCCGTCAGCCATATCCTTTCAGATGACCGGACCGTCATGACACTTATTTTCGACGAATATGTAGCATCGATTGGCCCTGACGTTCCCATCACCGACAGCCGCAAGAACTGCCAGTTGAACATCAATCTGCGGTATCCAGGTGGCTTCCAATACTCGATATTCTCAGCTGACTACCGAGGATATGCAAGGCTAGATAAGGGTGTTAGGGGTGTCCAAAAGAGTACCTACTACTTTTCTGGTCAGACTAAACAGGTATGATGTTTCCCTGTCCGGTCTATCATTTGTCTGAGAGATTATCCCTAAATCTGTTCTAGGCTTCCACCATGACAGAGTGGAACGGTCCAATGGATAAAGACTATCTTCTCCACGATGAGACAGACCATACCTCCATCGTCTGGTCTCCATGTGGTGCCAACGGAGCATTGAATATCAATTCCCAGATTCGCCTAACCAGCGGTAATCGGAACGCTCGTGGCGTGCTGACCACAGACTCCATTGATGCCAGTGTCAAGCAGATTGTCCATGTCAGGTGGCAGAAGTGCAAGCAAGCATAGTAGTTTGTAGCTTGGATTCATGCGACTTCGTTGCTAATCCGCACCGGGAGGCCGGCTGGAAATGGTCGTGGACAAGTATGATGTTGTTGATACTGCACGATTGGGAGAACGCCTGACGAAATGTATTGAAACTCTCGTTTCTAGTTTTTCTATCATGTATTTTTCTAGATGGAAGAGAAACCAAGTTGAAGATGATTAAATTGTTTGATCACATGCGGATCGATCTATACTATGTCATAATCTGAATGGCTACAATACAATATAACCGCATATATACTGTCGTTCGCGGACAATGACATTCCCACTCCCCCTGCCTTGTTCCGGGGAGACCGGTACATCTGTAGATCGTTTGGCATAAAGCTCACTAGCTCCCCGGGTTACACAACTACTACCAGTTGTCTTCACCAACCAGATCTAAATATAATAAAATGGACAATCCTTCCATTTATGGAACATCAATCTCAAACTGAGATGCTATTATCGGAGATGAAACAACAGTAAGTAAGCCCGGGTCCCGCTCCTTTTCCCTTTCAGTTTATTTATTTTGTATATTTATATTTTTTGGTTGGTTGGAATAAAGATGACGAAGGAAGTAAGCGGTAAGTTCATGTGTTACTACGTAAACTTCTGCAAGTATTCAACAGGACGCAAAACTGATCCCACAAACTACGCCGCAAAGAAAGTGAAAAGTCATTATAGAACCAACACCTAGAGCACGCAAATGGGTAATAAAGAATCTTGTGGATTTCTTCTCCTTTTTCTTTGCTATATGCATTACCGAATCGATTAAAGTCGTAGCACACCATGCACGTAGTCGGTGCAGCTGCTGAGATAAAACTTTTTCTTTTCCCCGGTCCTGTGATAGGTGGAGTGGTTTGGTAACGCTGGTTCCGCCAACGTAGGCCCGAAGCCAGGGGGGAAAACACATTCCAACACCGCCACCAACTCCAATGCCCATCCCCATATCCACCATCGCCCACTGCTCATCGCCCCATTTAACGGTATCTCCAGTAGCTCTGGGTATTGAGGCGTTTCCAGGTCTTCCGTCTGCCGGCGGTGGTCTTGGTGTAGCTGTGACCCCGTCCAAGGCCACGGGATTTCTTGCCAGCGGCGGTCAAGCCACGGTTTTCGCGGTGCTAGTAGGGGAAAGATGTTAGAACTTTATCTTCTACCGACCGGCATGGTTCTTTTGAGTCCCGTGTAAAAATTATAGTAAAACGTACCTTGTGCACCGGTTTCACGATCCAGTTGATGCGAGGATCGCGGCGGATGGCTTTGTGCTGGGGATCGACGAGGATGACCTCGAAGTACTTATAGGTGGAATCCTCGTTGATCCAGTAGGAGTTGAGGACACGCAAGTTGGCGCAGCGTCTGCCAACACGCTCTTCGGCAGTGCATCTCAGCGAACGCTGGTATTTGAGCTGGTTGACACCATGGTTGGTGGGCTTGCCTATTTGATTTTACAAGTTCTCGGGTTAGAAATGGTGCATTTTTCTTCAATTGGGCAACTTTCATTATTGGACTGCGGAATGAAAGATAAACCACCTACCGTAGGTGGTGCCCTTGGGGGCTTGCCGCTTGCGTCCTCCACGTCGGACACGGACACGGTAGATAACGTAGCCCTGCTTGGCCTTGTAGCCGAGACGGCGGGCCTTGTCGGGGCGTGAGGGGCGGGAAGCACGATGGATAACGTTGAGTTGACGAAGCTATATTGATGCACTCTCAGCAAAGTTCAACGAGTGTATAGCAAGACACAAAAAAATTTCTTTCATGTGCCACAGTTATGAATGATCTCTCGCCGGAGGATGGATTGGGTTTAAACGCATTCAGATCCAATTCCAATTGATGGTTTTGTTTCTTGTCTTTCCCGGCGAGGATTTCACCTTGGACATTCGAGGGGTCTCACCTCCCAGCATCGGACACGCAACAGGAAGCGGATCACATCGGACTGCTTCTTCTTCTGAAGCTCCTCCACGTATTTAAGAGCACCCATCTGTACGAGACAATTGTGAGCTTCTCGGACAATGAGGTAGGTTATTTCAATGACAGCAGGATTTCAGCATCTGAGCAAGTATGCGAATAATCAGAAATCACGTACCTTGTCGTCGTGGAATCGTTGCTGGTGGTTGTCGTGGTCGTTGTCGGGTTCGTCAACGCAGCAATCGGTCGATACAATCTACAATCTTCCCTTAGCCTTGCAAATGTGTGAGGCGCTAGCGGAATTAAGCGAGCCGAAGGGAGCAAGCGGTCTTGGCATTAAATCACGTGTAAATTTGGCGATTAGTCATCTGGTACGTCGGTCTTTGGCATCTCAGAAGATGAAATCTACAAGTGCAAAATGTCTCATTTACTCGCCAGAGATCAAGAAGCGAGAGGACTCTGATTCAATTATCAATCTATCCCATGCTCCCGTAACTTACTTCATGAACAAATAAGCTAACTAACAATAATAATCCCATCAAATATTAATACCTCAGCAAACCTTTACCCCCTTATTTTCTATCAACAGGCAGCGCCTTGGTAAGTGCCTTCATCCCCTTCACCATCTGGTGCGCCATCCTCCCCCACCCATACGGTTCCTTTTTCTGCAAAGAAGCATCTTTCTCCTTCCCAATCTTCAACATGTCCTGAAGATGCTGCTCATCTTTCTCAAAGGTTTTCGCCTTGGCTCTCCTCTCACCTTTTTTCCCCCTGGGTGCGGGTTCCCCTTTAACATCCCTCTTCCTGGCATCATCTTTGCGGGCCAAAAGTCTGTCGATCTCAGCTTGAGACGCTTCCGCGCCAATGGCGATTACTCGACGAGTCTCTGCGCAATCCCGTTCCCACGTTTCTGCAGGGTCCGGGGGAACTTCGAGGTTGGAGATGTATGCCGTGAAATCGTCGCATTCCTGAACCAGTGATCTGGTGCACTGAAGCAGTTCTTGGCTTCTGTTATACAATGGATGTTTGTCAGATGATACATCTTCAAGGTCGAGTTTCTGAACGACCGCTGTGGACCCGGACGCTGATGCCGAGGACTTCGTCCCGGAGGGAGCTAGAGCGGTGCCAATTAGGGCAATTACGCTGGCGTGAAACTTTTCAGATTCAGATTCCCTTGAGCCGCAAATAACGGTTAGAACCCAGTTTTAGCAAGGGAATGGAAACTGAATTGCAAAGGAGGGCGAAGGAAATCCTTCAAAACAGAACTAGAGAGAAGAAAGCGGGAAAATGGTATTTGAAACATAATTATGGGTTTCAAAAACAAACCTCTCCCTCATTACCGCCTCTACTAGCCCCACAAGCCTCATCTCCTCCTCACCAATGCACTTCTCGAACTCTTTAGCGTAATTGTCTCTCTTCTCAGTCCGCACCATTGCCGCCTGCAGGTCCCTCAAAGCTTTCCTATGACCTCAGTTAACATTGAGTCCAATCAAGAATAGGGAGCTACTTAACCCAGATATATAAAACCCCCCCTCTATATAGCGTATACAGATATCTCACCTAGTCAGCTCCACTTCCTCGTCGTCCTCCTCCTCTTCATCCTCACCATCATTCTCAGTCGCACCTAGGTTCACATCCTCATTCACAAGTCCATCGTCAGACTGGTCGTCATCACCCGCATATTCTGAATTTTCTTCACGTTCTCCCATGGATGAACGCGTATTTATCCTCTTCCCTCGAGCCCCAGCCTTAGTTCGAGCCCCAGCCCCAACCCGCATCCGCTTGCTCTTCTCCTGACCTGCCGCCGCGCTCGCTGAAGCTGCTACTGCTGTTTTTAATGGTTAAATTGTACTTCCACGGCAATGACACATTGTTGATGAAAGGGAGGCGAGCAGATGATGGTATAGGAGAATGAGGTCAATCAGGGGAACTAGAGGTGAGGTCGTTAGCTCACCAGCTCTCTTTCTACCACGCGGCATTTGCCCAACGCACGAGGTTGATACTGGGGCAATCCGGCGTCTTCGCACCCCTCTTGGATGCAATTACAAAACCTAATGGAGTTTAATGAATTGATGTGTCACAAATTAAACGGTGGAGATGCAAGATGTTGGTGATCAGATAGAATAACCCAGGCAGGATGCACTGAACCACTACCCCCATATACATGTGTGGTTTAAGGGGCTGGGTCATGTGATACTCAGGGTTCCAGAAACATCAGAGCGTATATATAGATGGGAGACGGAGACCAGGAGAGGATCGAACAAGAAATACTAATATATTGATCAATAAGCCTATACCTAATATTCCTGATACTACAGTTTCATTTCCACCAGTCTTAAAAATAAATCTTGATTTGTTTCCTTCGTCTTGGGCTTCTCTTTTCTGTCTGTGCTCTGTCTCTATACTTACTACTCAACCATGGATACGTGTACTCCCGCCATCAATCAATTCGAAAAAAAGTAAGAAGGCATCAATATTCATATAACAAGGGGGAAAGAAATATATGAGCGATGTTTCTGAGCAATTTGAAAGGGAAAATATAAGTAAGAAAATATTAAATTCATATGAGCTTCTCAAGTTATATCGCAAAGCAAGAAGAGAAGTAGAGAGAAGAAAGGAAAAAGGAAATCGTAAGATGGAAAAATTTCTTCTGTATAACTAGTTAATGAAAGAAAGTTAGGTGACCGATCTGAAATATATAGTAAACGAAGAACCAGTCAAATTATATCCGAGCTCCCAACACGCACCGATTTCCCAAGTTCCGGAAAACATGATTGCAAAAAACAAAATACAAAATAAACTTAAGAAAACTTCTCTCTTGTCTCTTTCACTCCAGAATGCACCAGATAAAAACACAACAAAACAATAATAAATGCAACAACCTATTTAACGCAACGAAGACATCAAGTAGACGAGGGAAAAAAGGAAATGAAACACAAAAACTGAGAAGAGGAGAATATGGAATATAGCAGAACGCGGGGGAAAATATTAGAATAAGCAAAAGTCTGGTAGAAAAACTTTATATCAACTTGGAAAAGGTAGAGAAGAGAGGAGGATAGGAAGAAAGGAGATTGTGCATAAGGTTTTTACAGGTACGGGAAAAAAAAAAAAACACAAATATAGTTGTTACATGAAGAAAGAGTAGGTAGGTGGGAAGTGTAGTGCGTGCCCGCTGTTTGATTTGTAGTGGGCACATCCCCGCGAAACAGAGGTTGGGAACTTGTTTGGAGGTGATAGGGGTAGTGGAGTTAGGGCGACCGGAATCATCAGTGGGGGCCAGAATGGCTCCGTCCTCCGGACCGTCATGTATCTCGAGTGAGACAGGGGGGACGTCGTGTGTAGAGGATATGGTAAAAAGAGGGGGGAAAAGGAATCAAACGTGGAGAAAGAGAAATGAATAGAAGACGATACAAACAAATTACATGAATAGATAAAAAGAAGAAAACACAGATCAAAAGTCCTCCCTGTCCAGCATAAACTAATTTCCCAAATTCCCAATTAGTACCAATATTCTCCAATATCCACTCTTATAATCTTTCGTTTCTCGCGCACCGATCCTCTTGTGTATTTTTCTCGATGTAGCCCATCCGATAAAAAGAAGGGGTGGGGGTGAAGGAAAATTTGAAATCTTTTTTAGTCTCTCAACGTTAATAAAGGGGGAAGTAAAAAAAGAGAGAAAGCGTGAAAAAAAAAGTACTATAAGTAGAAAAGAGAAAGAATTGTAGATAGAAATGAAAGAAAATATAAACAAGACCAAAGCTGGGTAACGAGTTGAGAAAAGTTCAGAGAACTAGGGGCAAAGGGGGAGGGTAGGTAATCTTCGGGTGGTTTGAAGTAGCGATTTTGGTATCCTGATAAACATCCTTCCTTCTTACCCGCTCGTCGTAAACTCTCGTGAAAATCTGTATATGGCCCTTCCTTATAACGCTAAGAAAGTGGGAACAAGAAACGGGACAAATTATAAACAAAAATGAAGCAAAAAAGAAAAAGGAAAGCAAAAAAACAAAATCACAATTTGAAAAAAAGAGAGAAAGCACTACAAAGACAATTGCCAAAGTCAAATCAAGCATG